GAAGCTCCTGTCGTCAAGTCAAATTCCTTGTGTGTGTAAACATACTTGGTAATAAAGCTCTTCTGATTCTGATTCTGATAATAAAACCTGCAGTAATAAGGCTCTCGCGTTTTCTCGCGTTCCGCGTGTATTTTGAGCCTTTCCGCTGCCCGTCACGCTTCGCCCCGCCCATATGTACGTAACGCGCATGCGTACTGCGCCCGTGTAGAATCCAGCAAGCGTAGATATGGCGGATCTCTCTCTGGATGAAGTGATTCGTCGCCGCAGTTTTAACGCCAGAGGAGTCAGTAAGAGGTAAACGCGTCCAGACGCTTCAGACGGCGTTCATGTAAACCGCGGGGGCGTTTCAGCCTAATTCTTTGTTTATAAACGCAGTCGTGTAGGCTGAGCGCAATGTCCCGCCTTCTCCCGCCGCTGATTGGTTAATATGCCCGTTTGAGCCGCGCTCTGATTGGCTGACGCGTCCTGCGCGTTTCTGTTCGCGGCTGTTTTTACAAACAAACAAACCTCGTACCTTGTGTTAATTTCATTAACTTCGGCCGTTCTTTCACATTATCGACACCTCTCGCGTGAACTAGAACACGTAACGCAGCCGTGTTATAACAACACGACGTGCTTCAGAGATTGATCGATGAATCGGCCGATATCCGTCGAGCGACAGAAGTGAGACATTTCACATACTTTTGATTCAAAGTACCTGTTCATACACATTCCCTTTTTAATACATGTATATTTTAATTTTGTGTCACAGAGACAAATTCCCTGTGTGTATGAACACTTTGAAAAACAAAGTTGATTTTGATTAGAATTGGGAATTCATCTTTAGGAATGAAGAATCTGCGTTTCAGCAGGTTTGTTTGCGTCCTGTTGGTGTTTCCTGTGTAACTCTGCTGTTGTCCCGCCCACAGGCCCATATATGGCAGAGGGGCGGGGTCAGTGGGCAGGACCTTCGATGCCCGCCAGAAGATCGGCAGCAGTGACGTCAGACAGCGGCTGGGAGTGGGCGGAACTACAGGAGGTAAGCGCGCTGGGACTGACGGAAGCTCTGGTTTATTCAGACTCTAGTGTTGTTCATCGCTCTGTCCGTCTCCAGCGTTCCAGGTAAAGGACGCGAGAGAGAAGCTGGGACAGAAAGACGCACGGTTCCGGATCCGGGGTCGAGGGGGCGGAGCCGGAGCCGGTGCAGTACAGGACGCGCGGCAGCTGATCAACTCGCGCAAACAGCAGCAGACTCCGCCTCCGAGCGTGACGCCCGTCAAACCCACGGGAATCCCTCACGTCCAGATCCACAACACCGGCCCCGTCTCTGCCGGCCCCCGGCCCCAGAACGCCAGAATGGGTGTGGCCCTGCAGCCAGGAGGCGGGATCACAAAAGTAGTGGACGCACGCGATAGGTTGAGCTTAAAGAGGAGCGTCCCGACGGCGTCCAATCAGAGCGCAGCGCCTCTGAAGATCACCAAAACCATCCAGGTGAGCAGATGAGCGGCGGTTGTTACGACTGAGATATTGATCAGCATCACATGATGACGTGTGTGTGTGTGTGTGTGTGTGTGTGTGTGCGCAGCAGAGGCCTGTGGGAATGACCAGCGGGATCCGCTTCAACGTTCCCAGTGCCGCCGCTCCGGTGAGACTCACACATCAGTCACCACACCATTCCTCAGAAACACTTTCATAATCAGCAGTGCTTTCAGATGACACTGTTAATCCATTAGTCCGTTTTAATGAGCGTACGGAATTAAGCATCACATAAAGTCTGACGGTCACTAGGGATGCGCCGATCCGATATTCATATCGGGTATCGGCTCCGATAGTGCCATTTTTCTCGGATCGGGTATCGGTCAGAGAGAGCCGATCCAAATCCGAGAGGAGTTTGTTTATTAAGCGTGCAGAACAACAACCCAATAAAGCATTACAATAATCTAACCTTGAGGTCATAAACGCATGATTTAACATTTCTGCATTTGACATTGAGAGCATAGGTCGTAATTTAGATATATTTTTGAGATGGAAAAATACAGTTTTACAAATGCTAGAAACGTGGCTTTCTAAGGAAAGATTGTTATCAAATAGCACACCTAGGTTCGTAACTGATGACGAGGAGTTAAAGGGTTAGTTCAGCCAAAAATGAAAATTCTGTCATTAATTACTCTCGTGTTGTTCCAAACCCGTAAGACCTTCGTTCATCTTCAGAACACAAATTAAGATATTTCTGATGGAATCCGAGAGCTCTCAGACCCTGCGTAGACAGCAACACAACTGAAATGTTCAGAAACGTAGCAAGGACATCAGTAAAACAGTCCATGAGACATCAGTAGTTCATCCGCAATTATACGAAGCTACGAGAATACTTTTTGTGCGCAAAGAAATCAAAAATAACTATTTATTCAACAATTCTTCTCACCCGAGTTACGTCTTCAGCCATTTTAGAGAGTATCTAAGAACGTAATCTGCGTAATCAGCGTTGTTTACGCTTGGGGGAAAGCGTGCGTATGCATTGTGATACTCTCCAAAATGGCTGAAGACGTAACTCGGGGGATTAATTTGTGTTCCGAAGATGAACGAAGGTCTTACGGGTTTGGAACGACATGAGAGTAATTAAAGACAGGATTTTCATTTCTGGCTGAACTAACCCTTTAACAGAGCAGCCATCAAGTGTTAGAGAGTGTTCTAGGTTATTACATGCAGAGGTTTTAGGTCCGATAATGAACTCCTCTGCTTTTTCAGAATTTAGCAGTAAGAAATTACTCGTCATCCAGTTTTTTATATCGAGAATGTATTTCGTTAGTTTTGCGAATAGGATTTGTCACTTCCCCGATCGGGCCACTGCAGCGTCGTCACCACATTTGATCATTTGCATGTGTTTTTAAGACTTGTTAATTAAAAAATTCAAGCAATTAAAAAGCATTTGGGTGTGAAAGACAACTCCTTTCAGTACTCGAGCGCTGTGTTCTGTGCTGAGCCGTCTGAACGAGCAAATACATACAAAAGTGTGTCAAAATACCTGTCCTGGCAAGTAACTCTGTAGCTTTAACTGATTAATCTATATTGAATTTATACACTGGAGTACAGATGCAGCGGACATTTTTTGTTTGATCTTCTGTTCCGTGCTTGCTAGTGTTGCTTTCGTCAACGAAAATTATGACTAAATATCGTCGTCAACGAACCTTTATCACGTGACGAAAACGAGACGAGACGCAACGTAAATGCTGGTCATGTGACGATGACTATAATTAAATGTATAATGCAATATTGTTGACGAATAAAAACGAGACTAAATGTGGTTTACAAAATAAAAACTATGCTAAAATGTCTCTTCATTTTCGTTGACCAAAACGAGACGAAACGAAATGTTATAACGTTATTTCGTCTCGTTTAGTCGCGTTATTATTATTTTGCAGTATTTCTGTTTCCTGTGTCTCACTTCAGGGGCTGCATCAGGTCACACTGCGCAGACGCAGGCGACATCACTTCCTCAAGCCCCACTTCTCACCTCAAGCATTATTTAGAGCAGTGTTTCCCAATCGGGGTGCCGTCTGTCGAGAGCAGGGGTGCCGTATAAAAACGTTATTATCATACTTAGTCTGTAAACGGCCACTAACAGAGGCCAGAGATGCTGAAGAAGGACACAAAGAGGAGGAAATACTGTAGCAGGCAGAACAAGATCACTGTTCACGATGTGCGAAATATAGGAAGAAAATCCAAATATTGAATTTTATATGAATGTGTTTCTGAGGGGAACGGAACTGACTGTTTTCAGAAATGGCGTTTTCTTTTCATTTGGTCTCCGTATGATGCATTTAAATTAGTGTTAATACGCGCAGCGCTGCTGTGTTTACAGCAGTAACCAAGGAAACGCTGTATCGCTGTACCATAAGCACCGCTTGCTGTCAGAGAGTGAATCTGCGTCTCATTCAGCCCACCTGCTGTTACTGTTTCATACAGTTTTATGAAGCATAATTTCACAAAGCTAAAGTCAGGTTATTCTGTTTTTGCTTCAGATTATGAAATGATACAGTCTAATATAAATCAAACATTGCACTTTTTTTTCAATTCATGATTAAAATGCTAAGTGTCTGTGACCCGTTAAAAAATACTAACATTTGTTTCCCGGAGGTTAATGTTACAAAAGCAGCAAACAACAGAACATAAGGATCACATGGTCTTCATCACGCACCTGCAGCGCTTCTGCCAGCGGAGAAAATCATCATACATATATATATATATATATATATATATATAACGAATAAATATGCCTATACGAGAAACATATTTTTACTTAAATAATAAATTAAGAAAATGAAAGAAAAACTGTGCAAGTAGCCTAGTATGCAGAGTTTTGGTTCATTGTTGTGCTGCGCGAAAGGAAACCAAGACGGCAGAAAGCGGCATCCTATTTTTCATTAGCCGTATTTTACAAAAGCACAAAGATTTGTTTTTATTGTGAATGTACACAAAGGCAAACCTTTTACAATTCCGATTATCTTTATGATTAAAGGAGTAGTTTCTGTCAGAAGGAAAAAACTCAGGTGATTGCGCCGGCGCCGCATGCGCGCACACACCTTGACAATGCAGCCTGTTCATTATCATCATACAATACAGTCAGTCAAACATTAAAAAAAAACCTATATAGTACAAAAAATATACTAAAATCTGTGCCGTTAAGTGTTGTCACCGTACCGCCGTGATGTTATGCAAAACATTTTGTTTTACGTGCAGCGCCAGTGACGTAGGCTACATAATAAATAATATTTTGGCATTCAAATACATCGCGAATACAGAAACATTTGATTTTGTGTGGAATGACAGACCAAACGCTGGTTTCAGTGTCGTTTTAGCCTAAATGAATTCGTTTTGGCTTGTCGTTTAGCTATAGCTTCTTATATTTCTAATTCTTCTTCTTTTCTAAATACTGTTAATTGAAAGGCTTTGTTGTGGAGTGACGGGAACGTTAAGTGTTGTCACCGTACCGCCGTGATGTTATGCAAAACATTTTGTTTTACGTGCAGCGCCAGTGACGTAGGCTACATAATAAATAATATTTTGGCATTCAAATACATCGCGAATACAGAAACATTTGATTTTGTGTGGAATGACAGACCAAACGCTGGTTTCAGTGTCGTTTTAGCCTAAATGAATTCGTTTTGGCTTGTCGTTTAGCTATAGCTTCTTATATTTCTAATTCTTCTTCTTTTCTAAATACTGTTAATTAAAAGGCTTTGTTGTGGAGTGAGGGGAACTAAAATAGCCTAGCTATGTTTACAGTGTTTATTATAATGTTTGTAAACACTTTGCGTCTGCATTAGGCCTATTTCTGAATGAAATGATAAAATGCGACTTATACGCGACTTATGTTTTTTCTTTCAAAAACACAATATTTTTTATATGTGTAGCGTGTTTTAACCATGCAGCAAATCTTTTTAAATATTCTGATAAATTACTGAAAAAATTAATAAATGACTTTTTAAACCATTTAACTGATTGTATTAATCGGTCAAAATTCTTACGGTCGGTTAACAGTTAACCGGTTAAAATGAACATCCCTAATTGAAGTTTATATGAATGTGTTTCTGAGGGGAACGGAACTGACTGTTTTCAGAAATGGCGTTTTCTTTTCATTTTGTCTCCGTATGATGCACTTAAATTAGTGTTAAAGGGATAGTTCACCCAAAAAAATTAAAATGTGATGTTTATCTGCTTACCCCCAGGGCATCCAAGATGTAGGTGACTTTGTTTCTTCAGTAGAACACAAACGAAGATTTTTAACTCAAACCGTTGCAGTCTGTCAGTCATATAATGCAAGTGGATGGGAATCACGGCTTTGAGAGTCAAAAAAACATACACAAACAAAACCAAATTAAACCCTGCGGCTCGTGACGATACATTGATGTGAAAAGACACAAAACGATCAGTCTGTGCAAGAAACTGAACAGTATTTATATCGTTTTTTACGATATAAATGTCCTGAGCACGTTCTCAACAGCCTTCTTCTTCTTCTTCGTGCTTTATGGCGGATCACAGACTTATAAGTGCATTACTGCCACCTATCTCTAAAATGGACCATTGACACTATCTACAATCTCAATTAGGAATGTCAATGGTCCATTTGAGAGATAGGTGGCGGTAATGCACTTATAAGTCTGCGATCCGCCATAAAGCACGAAGAAGACGCGAACGCACTCAGGACAGTTCGGACATTGCGGTGTATAAGAGGTAAAAAAACGATATAAATACTGTTCAGTTTCTTGCACAGACCGATCGTTTTGTGTCTTTTCACATCAATGTAAAAATGTTAAAAATCTCTGTTTGTGTTCTACTGAAGAAACAAAGTCACCTACATCTTGGATGCCCTGGGGGTAAGTAGATAAACATCACATTTTCATTTTTGGGTGAACTATCTCTTTAATACGCGCAGCGCTGCTGTGTATGTGTAGTTTAATACAAAGGACCGAAAACCAATCACAAAGAGTAGGCTTCTTTCTTCATTTAAAAACATGAGATACAGTGGGATGGGGAAAAACCGCCATAATGTCTTTAGACATGATTTTTAAAAGTTGAACATATAATTTGACATGGCTTTCTAAACATGCCACTCTCTTGTGCGAGACGCGAGTGCAACGTTGATAGATGTCCCTCTAGAACAGCGGTTCTCAATTCCAGACCTCGCGTACCCCCGCTCTGCATGTTTTGCACGTCTCTCTTTGTTAACACACCTGATTCAGATCATCATCTCGTTAGAAGTGAGCTGTATTCCGATTGACCTGGTCCCTACACAGTGTCCATTGCTCCCTACTCCCTGAGCAGGGGAAATCTGTTGAAGTTTACTTCACTTCGGAATATTCATTTACAGATTTGCGCTGCGCCGCTGCCTGCAGCGTCTTCACACACAAACGAAACTTACTAGAGAAGCGTGAAGTGGGACATAATATACCTCTGTAAATAAATACGATTTAAATTCACGTCTCGCACACTTAAATGCCCTTTGTCTGGAACATATACGCTCCCTTCAAACTGGAATCATGGCGGAATATCCGGTAATGTCCACTTCGCAGGGCACTTACAGTCAAATATAACAAACATCTGAAGCAATAAGAGAAACATACAAAAAACCGCTGCTCTAGAAAATGAGATAAATATGCGTTCTGTGTGAACTTGGTTTGAAGTTTTGACGTAAACAACAACATCTCCACACTGATGCTCTCGTTTTCCGCAATATATTGAATGAACAACGTAGCAGCGCCGCATCCAGTGGGTTCAACTGGATAGGCTAACAAAAGCATTCAAATGCAATCAATGACACACACATTGTCATCGCATCTCGTGCACCACTGATAAGGCTGCCTGACGGCTGACGCTGACCTAAAATTCGAATGCAACATTCTCTTTGGATTTGAAACTTTAGGGATCTTATCTATTCACGAACAGCTTGTAACACTCCAAAGAGAAAGGGAAACTTGAAATCGCATCATATGACCCCTTTAAACCACAGTAGCAAAAATCCTTAGCGTTGATCCCTGGGTATGTTTCATCGGGTCGCGAAGAAATATAGAGCTGAGTATCATCAGCATATTGTGGTCAATAGCGTCGAATGCAGCACTAAGATCCAATAGCACTAATAGAGCGATACAACCACAATCAGATGATAAGAGCAGGTCATTTGTAACTCTAATAAGAGCAGTCTCAGTACTATGATATGGTCTAAATCCTGACTGGAAATCCTCACAGATACCATTTATGTAGTAATAATAATAATAATAATAGTAATAATAATAATAGGCCTAATAATATTTATGTATGTCTAATTGACAAAAAAAAAAACTTTATCTCTTACTTTAAATTGGCTAAGAAATAAAATACACTGCTGGACAGTAACCAATCATTTGTCTTCTATAATATTTTTGATATATATTTTAATTACCCACAATCCCCTGCACCCGCTGACTCCCACAATCCTCTGCATCTGTAGGCCTGTCTGGTTACATGAACGTTCATTTGAAATAAAGTTTGCAGTGAGTTAATAATAGAACTGTGAGTGATAATTGTGTGTTTGTTGCTAAAATAAACCATTATGCTGCACTGTGTGTGTGTGTTACTCCTTGATCTTAGTCTTGTTTCATGTTTTAATTTCAATGTTGGCATATATTATGTACTACACACAAATGAATCATATACTTATATCGTTTACCGTCTGAAGTCTTTTACAAACAATAAAAATGTGATTTGGTGACTGAATTTCTTGCAGTGGATGTGAGATTCGGCAATAAAACAATGAATAGTAAAGTCGAATGGATTTGTTTTCCAGGGATCCAGCGCTGACGTCACGGCACAGGTCACGTGACGGCCGGGGGCGGAGACAGGAGTCACGTGGTGCCGGAAATAAAGTGCGCAACTGTTTCTCGAGGTGTTCTGATTGATCGCCGGTCAATAACACACTCCGTTATCAAATAACAACGCGCAGAAATTAATATCTGTTTTAACTGAGTGTTAATCGACATGACGCTGAACCGAAACCATCACCCGAACGGAGGAGTCCTGATCCAGGCCGGAGAGAGGTAACGTTATTCAGCATGTCTGATCATTATCACGATATACAAGAACACACACTGATGACCCTTATATGACACTCTTCATATCATATATACATGTGTATTACATTATTTAAATGTATTCAAAATATTACTTCAAATAATATTCAGCTGTGAATAAATGTTCCGCTGTTTTCTTGATCAATAACAAGTGTACATGTGATCTTATCTGTGTCCTTTGTTCTGTCAGGTCTGATGTCATGAGTGATTGTAGTTTGCTAAATTAATTCATGTAAATCGTGTGATTTAGTTGGATAATAACTCTCGCAGTTAAAGCTGTGTGATTTAAGATCAGATCAGTGTGGAGTCAACTCTTCTTCTTCATCATCATCATCATCATCACAGACAGACAGATGTGTGGGTGATTTCTGAAGGAACTGTAGTAACAGTGTTTGTTCACATGTGTTGATGAGAAACTCTGAGGTGCTGTTCTGGGAACAGATGTGTGCTTGAGTTCCCAGTGTGACCTCACTTCCTGTTTGCATCCTGCTCTTTCAGCATCTTACGAGAATGCAAGAACGTCGAACTTTCCTTCAGTGACGTCACGCCCAAAAACGACCTGTTCAAGGGGACCAAGAAGGGCTCCGTCTACCTCACTCAGTACAGGGTAACTATAACCCACCCAAACACAGATTAACTAATCCATAACATGTCCAAATACAGGTTAACTGATCTATAGCCCACCCAAAACATCTTAACTAATCCATAATTTATCCAATTCACTTTAACTAATCCAAAATGTATCCAAATACTGGTTAACTAATCCATAACCCAGCCAAACAGAAAGTAACTAATCCATAACCCACCCAAACACATCTTAACTAATCAGTAACCCACCCAAACAGGGGTTAACTGATCCCACACAGACACCGGTTAATCAGGTGTGCGTGTGTTTCAGATGGTGTTCGTCAGCAGCACGATGAAAGAGAAGTTCTGCTCCCTCATGTTCCCGTATTACCTGATGAAGAACTGCAGCATCGAGCAGCCAGTGTTTGCTGCAAACTACATCCAGGGGTTGATCAAAGCCGAGGCGGGAGGTACGCTGCTTTACCCAGCATGCACCTGCTGCACACTCTCGTTATTGTGCTGTGTTCGGCTCATGCTCACCTGTGTCTCTCTCTCTCTCTCAGGTGGATGGGAAGGTCAGGCCAACTTCAAGATGTCTTTCCCCAGCGGAGGAGCCATTGAGCTGGGACAGCACCTCTTCAAACTGGCCACCAACGGTCAGGAAACAATCACTGAGTCACTGAATCACTGCTGATGTTGTATGGTCATGAACCAGTGCTGAACTGTTTTATGAAGCTCTATCTGTGTGTCTGAGGCATTACATGTGTATTTGAGCTGCAGGGTGGAGCAGATCAAACTGAAATGATGATGATCTATCAATCTTTTACTTTTGATGCTTGAATGCATTTCAGTATATAAATGTGTGTGTGTGTGTGTGTGTGTGTGCAGCGTCTCGAGCTCCTCCGGCTCAGAACGGAGCGTTCGGATTGGCTGCAGGGATGAACGGATACGCCAGTCCAGCCATGCCGCAGCCGTACCCGTACCCGTATCCCAGCATGCCACAGGCCGGGTACAGCCCCTACCCACAACCCCCCGCTGCAGGTACTGTCAGACTGGCTGAGCTGAAGAATCACACGCATGTCTGCATAACGGATGAGCTGTGTAACTCTGTGTGTGTGTGTGTGTGTGTGTGTGTGTGTGTGTGTGTGTGTGTGTGTGTGTAGGTGTGTATCCCAGCGCTCCCATGTACATGGCTCCTCCTCCTCCGTACCCCGGACCTCCTCAGGACTGGTGTCCTCCTCCAGGTAAACACACACACACACACACGTGTTGGGATCAGATCTGTGACGGGTGTTAACAGCAGCTCTGGTCATTGCGTTCATTCATTTTTTTTATTTAATGTTTAAAACAGAAATATGAAAAAACCACACCTTTTCCGTTTTTTTCAAAAAACAAAGAAACAAGAGTTCGCCTTGATTTTGATGATAAACAGATATATCATCAGAGCTGTGTTTATTGTCTTCATGTTTCATGGGTCAGAGCGTCTCTAGCTGTACTGAAATCTGATGGGATTTCCTGACTGTCATAAGTTTAATACTTCTATGAGTCTCACTTATGAAACAGACGTTACATGAGTGTGTAATACCCTTTAATGCTCACATCACCTCATAAAAATAGAAAAATAATACTATAGTACTTTGTAACGCAGTAACTTGAGTATTTTATCAGCAAACTACTTATTTACTCTTAAGTCAAATAATTTTTCAGTACTTTTATTTGTAATCAAGTAAATTATTCCTTAAGTAACAATACTTTTACATAAGATCAGTTTTTTAGTACTCTCTCCACCACTGTATATATATATATTTCCTTGACTCCTGACCCAGGGTTTGAGCTGCACTGCAGTCCATTCTTGCCATTTTCTCACGTTTCTGTTTACAATATTAAATCAAAAAAGAATGAACACAAGCACACGGACCTCACATGATCTCTGTCTGTCTGTGATTCTCAGCAGCTCCAGGAAATGCCAAAGCAGCAGAAGCAGCCAGCAGCGCCTTCTATAATCCCAGCAACCCTCACAGCGTCTACATGCCCATGGTGAGACACACACTCTCTCACACACACACACACACACACACACACACACACACTCACACACACACACACACACACACAC